GGAAAGCTCTGAGTTGTCAGGAGTTTCCTCCAAGGACTGGCTGCTTCAAACACACTAAAATGCTTTCTGCTCTTTTATTTCTACTTCACCCCTTTTTTTCTGTACATTGCATGTGCTCACCAGAGAGAGACAGACAGACAGACGGAAAATGAGAAATCATGCCCCAGGGGAGAGCAACATCGCAGTTCCTTCTCCTCCATTCTCTTGGAATCTTGTGCACATATGCACATGTGCTGGGCATGATTTCCAAGCTACTGGGCCCGTGACTTGAACTATGCAGTCAGCCATGTGGGATCCAAGGCTTTAATCTGTGCCACCTGCTGGCCACATTTCTACCTTTTTACAACCACAGCTTCTTCAGTACTCCTGTGCTGACAATACCCTCCCTCCTTTTTTAAAACTTTCTTGCCATCCCGCCCGTGTGCTAGATGGAGAGAGATAAAAAGAGGGAAAGTGAGAAAGCACACCCAGGGAGGATGGCCATACTGTATTCTCTTCTCCTCCATTCTCCTCTAGGGATCCTGGGCATGCACGGACACATGCCCGGCATGACTTTCAAGTCACCAGGTCCAGGACTCGAACTGCAGTTGGCCACGTGGGATTCCGACAGCTTAACCACTATACCACCTGCTGGTCCCACACTTCCTCTTTACTGCAGTATACAGCTACCGTAACTACACCCTCATTACCCCCCACTCCAGTCACTGCTCTGTTCTGATTTTCCACAAACATGGCTCCATGAAGATGGAGCTCGTTATGGGTAAGTGTGTGTGTCTGATGGAGACTGCCACAGTTCGTTCCTGGCTGGGATCCAAGGCAGAGATTCACGCTATGCCCAGTTTCTCACAGGCCAATAGAATAAAGCTTTAGTTTACACAATCACGGTACATGTCTTACAGCTATCCAGGGAGGATCTTATATCCACTAGGCAGGCTATCAGTGTTCTATCGGCAGGACTTCAAGTTCCCAGTCTCCTATAGTAGGTGCATACCCAACACTAGCAAGGGTCTGAGGCTGGCCCCTTGAACTATCTTAATAATCGCTCACATCTCTAGCCAAATCCCCCTTGAGAAGTTATCTTCTTTTTTTGGAGAGGTTTTTGCTATAGGGTACATGTGGTCACCAGAAAGACAGAGAGAGAGACGGAGAGACAGAAAGCGAGAAATCACCCCCCAGGGCAGATGGCCACACCACAATCACTTCTCTCAGGATCTTGGGCACGCACGCAAACACACCCAGCGTGAGTTTAAGTCACTGGGTCCAGGACTCAAACCGTGGTCGACTACGTGGGAATCCAGCAACACAGCCATCACACCAACTGCTGGTCCCAAGAAGTGTTTTCTTTTTTAAAGAGAGGGGTGTTTTGTTGTTTTTTTTTGGTATGGAGAACGTGCTGGAGAGATGGAAAGTGAGAAATCACCTCCAGGGAGGCTGGCCATGCCACAATCTCCTTTTCCTCCATCTTCCTCTCAGAATTTTAGGCACACACACACACACACACACACACACCTGGCATGAGTCTCAAGTTACTGGATCCAGGACTCAAACCACAGTCTGCCATGTGTGAGTCTAGCGCCATAACCATTACACCATCTGCTGATAACCCCTGAGAAGTTTTAATTCAATAGGTCCCAAACTACAATCAGCTTCCCATCTGGCCCCTCCCTTCTTGTGCTTAAGAAGCTGAGAATAACTAGTTTTCAGTAAACAGCACTACTTGGCTGAGAGCAGGCCACCTTCCAGTTACTGGAACTGCAATGGCATGGTTCGTGAACCCTTTTTTTCCTTCAAGGAAAAAAAAAAAATCAGAGAAATCACTGTCACAGGCCAGGAAGAAAAGAATAGGAAGGCGGAATGAAATGAAACAGGCCCAGGGCCAGAAGTCTTGATGCTGGTGGAAAGATAAGGTATGCAAAAGGTGTAATGACTCCAAAGTCTGGCTCCCAGTCTGAGCCACTTCTTCCCGGCCTCCTTAAACCGAAGAGGGCGACATTCGATGCATTCCTGGCCTAATGGGGCAAGTAGAAAAACAAGAAGATGCAAGCGCAAGATTCTCAACCCGCCCCCCATTAGGAGAGCCACGTAAATGCCATCTCACCACAGACGTACTGCCATCAAAGTGCTTCCCAGGCCAAGCCCCAAAGCTAGCTTGTCTGTCTTAATTTCTACATCTTTTCCCTTTTTTACTCAAAAATTCCGAACTCCTACAGTCAAACTCTTCTTGCATGCTTCAAGTGACAAGGTGGTGTCTCCCCACCTCCGGCTGTGACTGTATTCCTCGGTCCAACTTTGATCTCCTGTTTTCTTGCACCTCTGAAACAGTCCTAGCACTACTCACTCCATCACCCTTTCTCCTACTTCGGCTCCTCGCAAGTTTCCTATAGGTCTCCCCGGACACATTTAAGACAAGCCGACCTCCTTTCCCCTCATCGCCCTACTTCGCTGCTCCCCGGGTCCCAACCCTCCTCCTCTAATCTCGCCCCCGTCCCTAGTCCCCAAACCAGTCCTCTCCCAGCCCGCCCCGCGGTCGCCATCTTTCCGCGCGGCCCCGCGGCCCGCCGGCCCGCGCGCTCACCGTTCTGGCGGCGAGGCCCGTGCGCTTGTCCCACAGGAAGTCCGTGATGGCGGCGGCACTGCGGCCGGAGTCCCGGCACCCCCGCGGCGACGAAGTGCGGCTCCACGCCGCTCGCACCGCCCCCGCCCGGGGCCCGATCCCAGCTCGGTCTCCGGCTCTGGCCTCTCCGCTCCGCCGCCGCCGCCGTGAGCGAGCACGCACACACGCACACACGCACACACGCACACACGTCCTGCGTCGCTTCCCAGCTCCCCGTGGGCTCCGCCCCCCCGGGCCGCGCGCGCCACCACGTGCTCACGTAGCTCGCGGCGGTCGGCCTGTCAGAGCCTGGGAGGCGCCGGGGGCGGAAGTTCACGGGGGCGGGGCGGGGCGGGGCCGCAGGGGCGCGCTGGACGCTTTCCAGACCTGCCGCGCCCGCCTCCTGTCCTTTCCTGTCCCTGTCTTTTACCCTTTCCTTGGGGACTTCCGTGGCTTACTTAAGGTCGGAGATTTCAAAGAAAAGATGGTCATTTACAGGGTGTCACTGCTCTGCAAACCCGGCACTCGAGAAGCTGGGTAGTAAGGTCTGACTCTCCCGCAGAAGCTGCAAATACCCACTTCTTTTAACAGCTCCCCTGTCTAACCCAAGCAGTTTCCACCTTTTGTTCTGAACAAGTTATGAACGTGTTGGGGCGGAGGCATGACCGTGGAGGGAAGGTTTGAGCAGTTAACGGGTGGTGCCCAAAAGAGGGAATCACTTGGGAGCGATCTTACTGCCTTTCATACTATGTAAGAAAAGTAAGTTTACTGAATCTTAAAAAGAATGAGAAGAAAAAGTCCTTGAGGCAAACTAGACAGTCAAAGATGCTGTAGGAAGAATTCAGAACTGGTTAGAAAGCATCACTGAAAAAAGACAACTATCTGAGGATGACTATGTTGAAATCAGGGAATATCAGAAGGGAGCTGGATACAAGGCACGCAAAGCTTTTTGAGGGAACCAGGTCCAGGTTTTGCAGAACTTTGCACATCACACTAGAGAGCTCAATGTAAATCCACAGAAGACAGGGAAGTGTGAGGAGTTCAAGAAAGTGATAAAGCTACATTCGGGTTTTAGGAACGTAACTCTGGCAGTGTGGGCAAAAGACTGGGTTGGGAGAAGTTGAAGACTCTTAGAAGCTTCTTAAATAACTTTGAGGGAAAAAAGGCTAAGGCCTGAGGCCAGCTGGTGGTGTAGTGGTTAAGACGGCTGGATCTTACTTGTCCAACAGTGCAGTTCGAATTCCGAACGGAGCGGCTTGAAAAACACAGCAAGCATGTGTGTCCAAAATCCCAGAGGAGATTGCAGCATGACCTTTCCCCCAGGGGTGCTTTCTCATTTTCTCTCTCTCTCCAGCAAGCACATGTACTCTTTAGCAAATTACAAAAAAACAAAACTAAACAAAACAAACAAAAAAACACACGTTAAGGCAGTGACAAAAAAGAGATGAAGGGAAGAATTTGAGATATTTAGGAATTTATAGCACTTAACATCACATAGCACTGTAGTTTACCTGTAGGCTGGTCTGTCCTTGGACACAGATGTGCCATGGCTTTACGGCTAGGACTTTTTCATTGATTTTGGTATCCTTGGCGTCCAGTCATGGGCAGAGTCATATTCGTGAAGGCTGGCAGAGGGAATTAGGAAATGATGTCATTGGGGGAGCAGCTTGAGAGAGCTCAGAAAAGAATTTGCCTAGGGGAGTGCTGGAAGGCAGAAGTAAACAGGACAGAACTCATGGGTTAGAATAGGGAAAAGGAATCTCAAAAGCAATTCCTCACTTCTTCTACCTTTGGCCCTCCCGAGTCCCACGAGCTATATACAACCCACGTCCGGCTTTCCCGCCACTTTCGAGCGGCTCCGCCTCCCGGGCTCTCAGTGGGTCAAAGCCCAGGAGTCCTTGGCCCGCCCCTGCTTGGCTCTGGCGACGCTTCCCCGCCTTCTCTTCCTACGCTGGGAGCACCGCCCTCGTGGGCGAGGCCACGCCCCTCGGAGTCTCCCCTCGGTACTGGCTTCATTGTCCCCGCCCCCGCCCGCTCGCCCAATCTTCGCTTGGCCCTCGCCAGGGGGCGCAGCTCAGCCTGCTCGCCGCCCGCCCGCTTGTCTGTCGCACACACCCCCTCCGCCCCGAGCGCCAGCGGTTCGGAGCCTACGACGCCTCCGCGCCGAGCCTGCGGGGCTGCGCCGGCTGCTACTCCAGAGGGGTTGGAGGGTCCCTGGTGGCCGCGGCGGGGTCCAGGAGGCCAAGCTTGTGAGCAGGCGGACAACATGGACGCGGAGCAGCGGCCGGTCTCGGGAGCAAGCGAAGGGGCGACCCCCGGGCT